GTGATCAGCACAGTGGAGAGACAATGGACACCGTGGTGGGGGTGGCACCGTGATGAGGGTATGGGTGTCACTGTGGCAAGGACACGGGTGTCACTGTGGGGGAGAGGCTGGGGTGTCACTGTGGGGGAGATGCAGGTGTAACCATGGTGGACACATTGGAGTCACTGTGGTGGAAACAGGGGTGTCACCATGATGACAAAAGGGATGTCACCGGGCTGGGGGACACAGGTGTCACCAGGGTGCTGAGGATACAGGTGTCACCACAGCAGGGGGGCAGGGTCCCGGGTCTCACCCGCACTTCGGCCTCGCGGGCGCGCCCGGTCAGGTCGCAGCGGGAGCCGTTGACGTAGGTCTGGCTGTGGTAGCGCCTCAGCCGGTGCTGCTTGGAGGCCTGGGGGGGACAGGGAGGAGCAGGGTGGGGACAGGGACCCCGCCGGCTCCTGAGGGGGGTTGGGTGAGGGGACAGCAGTGTCCCCAAGGTGGGGGAAGCCCAGACCTCGGCCATTTCCTTGTCCCAGTCCAAGGCTGACTGGTAGTAGCCGAGAAAGAGGATGTCTCCTTTGATCTCTGACTCTGCAGTGGGGACACAGCAAGTGCGAGACATCAGGGACAGTCTGCCCCTCTCCCACTCCCCAGGGACCCTCCCACACCACCATGTTCCCCCCCATTTTCACCCTCCATGTGGTACTGCTGGATGTGTCTCCCATAGCAGAACTCGTAGGTCCACCAATCCTTTGTCTGGGAGAGAGGCAGGAAAAGCCCCGGGATGAGGCAGGAGGGCCTGGGGGGTGACCCCAATGTCCCCCCCGTGTGACCCCCTCACACACACCTTGACGAGGCAGGGGGCAGCCGCCATGGGGCGCAGGAGCTCGGTGACACCGGAGCCGTTGTAGAGCCGAGACTCCTCCTCGGGGTCAGGGGTGGCGGGCGGGGGGAGGTGACACTCGTAGAGCTGCTTGAACTTGGAGGCCACAGTCACCACATCCTCTGCCTGTCGCTGGAGGGGACGTGTGACCCCCTCACACACACCTTGACGAGGCAGGGGGCAGCCGCCATGGGGCGCAGGAGCTCGGTGACACCGGAGCCGTTGTAGAGCCGAGACTCCTCCTCGGGGTCAGGGTTTGCGGGCGGGGGGAGGTGACACTCGTAGAGCTGCTTGAACTTGGAGGCCACAGTCACCACATCCTCTGCCTGTCGCTGGAGGGGACACGGCAGGGACACACATGGCAGTGACATGGGCATGAAGTGTGGGGGACATGCCCATTACTGCTGTCCCCTCCTCTCCCCCAACCAGGAGCCGCTGGGGGCCTCTGGGCCAGCCCGAGGGTCTCACTGGGACTGGACTGGGGGATCAGTCCCTCTCTGCCCTCTTCTGAGCAGCCCCTCCTGGTGCCCAGGGTC